GGCTCCAAAATTGAGTAAGTCTAGGTTTATTGAATTGTCCTCCCATCTGTTGCAGGCTACATGAACTAGGGAATAAAATCAGCATCCCCTTTAAGAAGGCAGAGGATCAGGGCCTGGGTTAAGTTTGCTTTTGGTTTAAAGGACTTAAGTTTGTACTGAAAAGCCTTCCAGCATTCAAACTAGAAAATCAGTCCCCCAGGTGACAAGGAGGCCTATGAGTGACTAATCCAAGTCATGTTTCAGTAGTGTTAAGATGTAGCTAACTACTTACCTTCCTTTTCTAGATCCTTCTCCAAGGACACATGAGGTCTTAGAGCTTTGCTGGCCAGCCGGGAAAGGGAATCCTCCTACTTAGGACCTCCTTACATCAACTCTCTGCAGGGGCCTCCTAAATGCGTACTCTAAAATCAGCCACTTTTGTGACCTCCACTCTCACCCTTTCTCTGGAATATCTTTCGAGTGATTTCGATTACTCATTAGCCTATCAGCTTCTCTACTTTTCCCACCTATCTCCTTAGGTAGTGAGTGATCCCTTTGCTAAAGACCAAGAGGCATAATGTGCTTCCTGAAAGAGCTTCAGAATTAAGTGTGGAGTGGTGCTCTTCTCTGTCTTTTCATTTTTGTTGAGACTGGGGTCATTTTTTCCAGGGCCCCTTATCTCATCCCCTTTTGGGTAGGACATAAATCGGCCTCAGATACTTATCCCTTACATTCTGGAAGGAGAAATGTTAGGAAAAGTCATATAAGATCTTGTCAACTTCTCTGAATTAAGGTAATTTGGTCATAAGTTGTCCGAGCTGCCCACAGGATTTTCATACAATCATGTTAAAGTATCTCAAAGCAGCTCTACCCCAATAGGGTTGTTCCACTTTGCACCGTACCAGGAAATCTCCTAGTAGTTACGTGAATCTGATGTTCGGGAACAACAAATTCAACAACAGGGCAGGCCCACTGCTCCCTCCCTGCAATTCAGTGTAGCCAATACATTCAGCAAGACAACCCCACAGGAAACGCCATTTAGCTTTGCTTACTTCATGGGTGTAGCCTCTTAAATCACTAAGAAATTAAAGCTTCAAGGGACTCACTCCTGTGATTACTGCTTGTTCAATTCCCTGTTCGTGTACTGAAGCCTCAAATTCTGTATCTCAGTTTCCCCATAGGACCATGGGTGGCACACTGAACAATGACAGGTCTCAAATCTAAAAGGTTAGGCTGTATCAATTGTTCTAATAGGACTTGGGGACCAAAGGGTCTTTTTTTCCCACCTTTTTCCTTAGTGCTCACAATGGCTGGCAGATCTGTAAGGGAATGTTGAAGTATGAAACTATCTCAATCTGCCCTAGATGGTAGATTTTCCAGGACTTTTGCGGCACAGACGGAAATAAGCACTATGATAAACATGTTTACCAGTGATTTTAGCTTAGCCAGGTTTCCCACCACCGGCCCCAAGAGGAATGCTGTTCTTTACCAGTACAGCTCAGTTGATCCCCTGTGCAATTTCCAGAAGGCTACAAGTAGAGTAAATGGAAGTTTGCCTCATATTGGGCACTACCTGGAAAGTGGTGGACTAAGGCAAACTACACAACGCTACGGACTAAAACATAGTTTTAATGGTGGAAACTTACCGGCAAAGGGTCAGCAAGAGGCACTGGATACCTTTGCTTTGTGCAAAGGCCAGGACACTACTTACTATGCCTTGGGTCTGTACTTCAGGGCAAAGCTATATGTCTCTTATCTTTCCACAGAGCAAGCCTCTTCCACTAATGTAAAAATCCTTAGCATGAAAGAATAGATTTCTCTGTTTTCTTTATGGAAAATTATGAGAAGGTGAAAGCTTTTTAAAGGGCCTCAGATAAACACACAGAAGAAATGATGCTCGAGATTTAAATCCTGGTGCTTTATAATAAGCCTTCTGAACAACCAGACTAGCATCTGGTATCAATGACCTCAGAGTAACTAGTTACCAGAAGCATCCCAAGTTCAGAAGGCTATTCATGGTCATGAAATAGAAAAGTGGCTCAAAAGGGATCAGAACCAGTATGTTGACTCCCAAATCAGGAGTCAACAACTACCAGGAGCTCTAAGATCATGATCAGATGAGAGAAATGCCTTTCAGTGTGCCAATAGGCTGTTCATTTGCAGTGCTATCAATTATTGTGAAGGAAGGAAAACCCAAACAAGTTATTTGAGGATAGTTTCTTCCTACTCACCACTAATGGAATCAGCCCAGCTAGGCACAATGGGTCATAGAGAACCAGAAAAATACTAGAGTGAAAAGCTAGAAAAGCAGAAAACAAAGAGACATTTTTCTGGAAAACAAAACAAAAAATAAAATATCATCCTAAAATTCCCTATCAATGTAGAAGAGACTGTCCTGCATCACTGGATTTTAATACTGGGTAGAACTTTGACATCTCTCCATTTGTACCTCTTTTTTAGGTGGTAGGCCATGCCACAGTTTCCTGACATGACCACAACAGCCAATCCCCAGGCACATTCTCCCCACAAGTTTTTGGTTACTGAGAAGTTAACATCTAAAATTATTTTTTTTACTACGTAGACACTTAATATTTCCAAATGGGAGGGTATGTTTATGTGTGCACAGACAAGAGTCTGTGTTTAATATGCTTTAGCAGCAGCATATATAATTAATGTATTAAAATCTTATCTGGGAATACAAAGAATAAGTTTCAAATATTTTCATTTTTTCCTCTTTTGGGCTCATAAAATTTATATGAAATGCTTATTTGCTTTTCATAACTTTCCCCCACATAGCATTAATTTTGTCATATTGAGAAATTTAAAACCAGGAGCAAACATCTGTCAGACTAATTTTTTGCTTTTTCATAAGTGCAACTTTTTAATAAAAATTTACATCTAGATAAACAATCTCCAGATTTTTGAAACTTTAATAAGATTTTAAAAACATGACTTTTAACTGAAAAACATACACATTTAGCACACAAATATTGTAATATGAATCAACTCCAACTCCATTTGAAAACATGTGAATCAAATTACAGTTTTTAGAAGTTAGTAATTCACATTTAAGCAAGTTAGCGCCTTGCTGACTTCAGCCTTTGTAAAAAAGAGACTTAGTGCATATTGTAATGGTACACTGTTTTTGTACCATTTTGTTGATTTTTTTCACTTTATTAAACAAGATTAAGTGCTTGAAAGTTGGTAGATAACGGCTAACTTCCTATGAAATTCCCAATGGTAACAGTTACATTTTGTAACAGAATACTTTCTATAGATTTCTTTGCCTACCTTAAAATTTTAAAAGCAATCATTTGTAAGGATTGCATATCAACATCAATTTAGCAGAGGAAGATCAAACTTTATTGAAACTGCTTGCATACAAAATATATTGCACTATAACCAAACAAATGTCAACATAAAATCCAATCTGTTGTCGCTAATATGTACAGAGAATATTGCCCAAGAGCAGTTACATTACAAGGTCATTCTACCTTGGTTAATTATCTACAGTATTTTAAACCAAACAACTTACAGATGATGTGTGCAAGGTACCAATTTCTGTTTTCAAATACTATACATTCCCAGAATAAATAACTAGAAATCAACATTAATGTTTGGCAATACTTTTTAAAAGACTTTTTAATATTCGTGAAATTGTGTGCAGTTTGTTGCCATTTTATATGCTTATTTGTATGCAAGGAAAAGTAACTGTAAAATGAAAATTTAAAGAAATAAACTCACAAAGTACATCAGAGGCAGAACTTCGGTTTGTACGGCTTTGTACAGATTCAGTGGTACCCCTACTTGGAGTTATTTTTTAAGAAAAATATAACATCTTAGAGTGAAGGTCCTTCACATATTTTTCCTCAGTAAATTTCATTCATTTAAGAAAAGACTCAAAAACAAAACTAAAACCCATCAAAAAAAAGGAAAAAATAGGAAAAGAAATATGTTAACTAATTCTAGTCTGTTTTCCAATTCTGCTTATACTTTAGACCTTATATTTCAAAGTTTACAAAACACTTAACCTGTTTTCAATGTTTCTTAGACAAAGTACCTGTACTTTACAGGATTATTATGCATACATGGAAATGACCTTCCTATATATCCTCGAAATAAGCTTGAAATTAAAATATGAAAAACTTCACAAAACTTGGGGAGGAAAAAATTAAAAAAGGCTCTAAGTTAAATTGGTCATCAGGCCAAAGAGCAGGCATATCTTACTAACTTTCGACCAGGAAGATTTGTTCCCAGCTGAAAACATTTTAGCCTCTCTCAATTGAAAAGATAGTTATTTCTTCTCCTGTCTATACAGAAAGATTACAAATCCCTTTCAATAACACTATTGGTCAAATTTCAGTGCAACAAAACAAAAACAAAAACAATTTCTATTCTTTATACTGCCTAACCTGATGTTTATGTAAGGAAAAAAATATGGAAAGCATGCATTCTTCTATAAAGTACTAATGTTTGACAGGGTTTGCTACATCTTTAACATTTAGTGTTTCCAACTTATCTTCCCTGAACTCTGCATCCAAATATAATATTCCTACCTGCCAAGATATAAAAAAGGCACAGATCATACAACTTTTTTTTTTTTTTTTTTTTTGCTAATGAAAATGACAAATGTCACATCACACACATTTCAGGGTCCACTAAAATACTGGAAAAGTGGACCGAAACATAAACAGACACAGGACATGAAATGACGTAGCATTTCATGGGGACTTCTATATGAGATTGAAAACAAATCAAATATGATTACCGTAAGTGCTATTTATTCAGAAAAACGGAAAATGTACTGGTGAGTTATCACCCAATGCAAGAAAATGGTCCAAATCAACAAAGAAAATCACTGTTCAGTACTTTAAAAAATAAAACTGAAATCCTGCCCTGAAGTGCTAAGTATACTCAAAAGCAATGTTTCAAATTTCAAGATATCTTTTTGTGCAAATCTGAAAGTTGTTGCTTATGGCCAATAGCAAAAAAAAAAAATAATAATAAAAATAAAAATAAATAAATAAAAAAATAAAAAAATAATAAAATTCTTAGCAGAATTTGTGTTCATTTCATGCCCTGTGCCATCTTGCCTACTATTTGTCTTTGGCCTAACAAAGTTTTCTAATATGGAATAAGAAGTATGGAAATGGTATAGGAAATATAACTTCGGAATTATGCAGTTTAGGGTACTCCGTTCACAAGTGGTTGTTGACCATCCACGCTGTCTGGCTTTTCCTTCTTCTGGTTACGATCTTTACCCGTGCGCAGTCGATTACCTTCACTGGAGGTATTCTGTAATGTTTTAGTGTGGACACTCCTTTCATTATTGCAGTCAACTCTGATCTAAAACAAGTTATAGTTGTTATATACACAGACCATATCCTATTGTAATCTGTAATTGGCCTGACAAGAAATTTAAACCTGAAGTGTAAATTACATGTGTTAAAAGAGAAATGGAGATGAAAACAGAAGTGTGAGACATTAAAAAGTAGGATTTTTATTTGGTTTATTATTTTAGAACCTTCACCTTTAACTGGAGTGTCAGTCATCTTAATGGATCCAAAGTTAGAGAAAAACCTACAATTCTACTATGTCTTCTTCTAAGCAGAATAAAATCGTGGAAAGCAAACAGTTAAACTGAATTACTACAACTGATTAACTGGAAGATATACATAGCTCTATCAGTGGAGTTCAAAAGGACCAAGTTATTCTCTAGAGATTGTGAAACCCAGGAGAAGAGACACAAAATAATGTCTTTCTATTGACTCTACCAGGGTAAGAGCTCAATTAACTCACTTATTATCCAGCCTTTAGTTTATACCTTTGTATCTATCACAGGCATGATTTAAGTTTCTCTATACTGAGAAGTCTTACAGTAGAATATGAGCTTTGGTATCTAATAGCTTATATTTCATTAAGACAATTCAGATGATCCCACAGCTTAATCTGAAGAATAGAATGGTATAAAGAAATCTGAAGATAGTTTGTGGAACAATTTGAATCCTAAGAGAATACAACAATTAATGCAATTTAAAAATATCCTAAGAGTAACAAAATATTTTAAGTACCAAAGCTGAACACTGCTAAGCGAATTCCAGATGCTGTACTGAAGGAAGATAATAGTGACCAATGGACCTAAAACAACTAAAAATATTGATTTGTTTCAAGTACAAATGCTAAAAGTATCCCCAAATGGCTGTAATTTCAAAGTACATTTAAATGCTGGGTACAGGTGGTATTTTAAATATTTGGTTGCCAAGTGCTTTGATTTGTATCTAATTTAATATTCATATAGACAACACCAAATTTTTATCAAGTATTCCATTTTAATCATAAATACTCATCCTTTTAACTAATGTGGTCAGACTGCTAATTTCAAACATGTCAGTTTAAGTGGAGAATTACAAAACTGGGACATAAATACCTTCTTTCTTCGTAAAGGACATTTATGTATGTTAATTTGCTAATCTTTCTATGCTAGTCCTTAAGAACCCACTAACAGTTAACATGTAGAGCTGCTATGAATTCTAAGGAATATTCCATCATAAAGTTTTTGTCTTAAAGTATCTCCCACCAATATTGGGTGTTGGTCCTAAACCAAACGACATCCAGGAAAGAACCATTAACTACTTGGCTTAAGAATTAAAAGTTACAGAAAAAGCAGAAGACAACATGGATCCTGAGAATCGAACACTAGGGTCTGAATATCACTTAGCCATATGCTAGCTACATGGGCAAAGGGACTGAAGCTTCAGTTTACTCACCTATAAAATAGATAAAACTACTTACCTCAAAGGGCTGCTGTAAGATTAAATGAGATAAAACATACACAAAGCACTTATCAAAGGTATGCCTAGATGTACTTAGGGGGTAATTTAACAATGGGTTTTAGCATTAGTGATAATCTACTGAGAAGAGACCCTCTGAACAGAGCACTGGCTATAAACAAGCAGCTGGCTGACTTGGCATGGACACTAGCTGAATATCATCAGTTCTATCATGATTATTAGTTGTGACAGAAACACCTTCTTTTCCTTACTTTCTCTTCAAAGAGAACACTTTATCCCTGCAGCTAAGGGGAAAGAAAAGGGACCCACCAGGCGTATTCAGGTCTCTCAGTCTGTATCAGAATGTTCCTTTGCTTGGAGAACTGGGTGACAGAGGGTTCCACCAATGTGATATTAAAATCACAATGTGGCTGCTAAGGTCTTCATAAATATTTACCTAGATTGTATATTCTCTAAAGAAATCCTTTTATTTGTATACTTGTCACAAAGTACTAAGATTGCCCACAATGTAATGCTACAGGGGAAATAGTTCACATAAACCAAATTTTTAATCTTTAAACATGTTTAAAAATAAAGTAAAATAAAACTTATAAATATTAAGCTGCCATATTCAAAAAATTTAGAAGAAAAAGGCACACAGGTTTTACCTGAAGGGATCCATCAGCTGTTCTTCCTTTAGCCTCTCTTGGATTACGTGGACGATTATCTGTTCGGGAGTGATCGTCGTTTCCTACAGGAATATTTTTTAAAAGTTCAACAGTTTCTGATTCTGAAATGCTTAATAAAAATTCTTTATTCTTATACCTTCTATTCAGACCAACCATAGAATCTGAAATGTAATCAATAACCTAGAGATTCCACTTACATGATGGCCAATAATGTAGCCCGCTATGAAGCAACAGAATATTCCAAAGATATTACAATTCCACACCCAGCTCGGTGCCGCCTGCTAGGGCACCAGCCACATATACAGGAGCTGGCAGGCTCGAATCCAGCCCGGGCCTGTCAAACAACAATGACAACTACAACCAAAAAATAGCTGGGTGTTGTGGCAGGCACCTATAGTCCCAGCTACTTGGGAGGCTGAGGCAAGAGAATCGCTTAAGCCTAATAGTTTAAAGTTGCTGTGAACTGTGACATCACAGCACTCTACCAAGGGCGACATAGTAAGACTCTGTCTCAAAATAAAATAAAATAAAATTCTGTACCTGCTGCATTACAGGTCAATGCTAATTATTACTCAGAAGTTGTTTAGAATCCTTAAAGAAGCTAACTAGTTGCCAGTGCTCATTAATATATTCTATGTGAACCATGGGGAAAGCTGCCTAATAAACAGTCTGTCACTTACCACACAAATGAAAGGCCAATCCTTTCCTATGATGATCAGCCAAAAACAAGAGAGATAGGATCTGGATAATACTTCACTGCATCACCAAGATTTTTCATGGACTTTCAAACTACTATTATAATTCATCTTTATTTCTTAAAAATGAAGACTTCTGTACCTTTGAAGCCTCCTCCACGTCCTCTTCCTCCCTGTCCTCTTCCTCCTGCTCCACGTCGCCGCCCGTCTCCTCTGCGCAGAAAGCTCTCCCTCTCTTCCTCTGTTGGAGCTAATGACCAATCACTGAGTTCGTCTCTGTGGTCAGATTCTGTTTCAGAAGCATTTGATGCTTCAGAATTAGTTCCTATCGAGAGTTAAAAGTTATATACCATTGTCTGACTTAAAAAAAAAAAAAGAGGTTAATAGAAACTTCCAGAGACTCTTTCAAGGGTAATCTGATAAACTCTTCCCAATTTATAAGCCCACTAGTGTATTATCACCTTCCAATTTGTAAAAGAGTGATTTTAAATCCAAAATAAAGGGCTTTGCAATATTTGAGGTAATGTTACTTATAAACATTTTTGGTTTTTATTAAAAAGAAAGGTATTTTATTAGCCACCTAAGTTCAAACTTGAGTTTGTCACGTTATTAAACATCTGTGCTCCTTTAAACATCTGTGCTCTCTGGAGGACAAGCTGTCTACAACAGCTAAGTGCAATGCCTTGATAAATAAACCCTTTATAAAGAGAGCTCCTTTTGACAAGATTTAGCCCAGGAAAGAGGGAAATATACACATTCCTATAATTTTTGAGAGGGTAGCAAAGACAATGGTAACTCTTAGTAAAGGGTTTCTTGTGGGGTCAGGGACTAGATCTAGCTAAAAGGGGGTATGCCTGCCTGATGTTTAGTGTACAACTTTCCCTCCCACTCCTAATGGATAACTGATAATTACTGATTATTATAATAAACTTTATGCCTAACAGGGTTAATGACCCTTAGGTTATGGGAGAAGGGGAAAAGAGCCCCATACTGAGGTGAAAATCCATTGGTAAAAAGAACTGACTACTGGGAGAGGGGTTAGGGGTTGTTAGGTTCCAGGTTGGCCTTAGGACTAGGTGTCTCTCCCCAACTCCAGAGTATCAACTCTACTACCTCTCTCTCTTCCTCTGTTGGAGCTAATGACCAATTATAGCTTCACCATTATAGCTTCATTCCTGTGGATCTTGAAGACTTTTCCATCTTAAAGAGTTCCTTTTTGAAATGCAAATATCTGTGAGATGGATTACACCTTATACCATCATTAGCAAGTTTCATAGCAGATTCACAGTTGAGCAAGAAAGACAGTAGGCACTGGCAGGTGGGGACCAGGTTCACTGAAAGGTACTGGGAGAGAAGAAAGAAGCAAGGACAGAAGAGCTGGAAAGGCAAAGAGAAACTTCGCCTACTTCTTGACTGTGCCTAGGGCTGACTTTGGCCATGCCACTCAAAATCACCTTATGAGCCACAGGATGCAGACCCCTGATTTACACAGTCCATCCAGCAAGTATGACCAGCACATGCCTGACAAAAAATGAGCCACAATACACAAATGAAAAAAGTTTTGGCTATACAGTAATAAAATTAGGAAGGGCCTTAAGAAAAGTCATTAACACACAAGGGCTTAAGCAGATTTATCCCCAATCAGAACATGGATAGAACTCACACCTACCCTGTGAACTCTGTGTGTTATTATCAGGTTTTTACTCTACATGTGTCTTACAATACAATTTGACCCACTGTGAATTGGAAACCAAGTAGTGAAAAATTATTATAAGGGGGTTCTAATGAATATTAGAGATTAGCAGCTATTAAGTCTAGGAACAAATAAAGTTACTGAGTAAAATGCTTAGTTTGTACCTGAAGTATATCCAGGACCGCGTCTGCCGTGCCCCCTATTTCTGTAAGGTCTACTACCTCGACCCATTCCTTGACCATCATCAGTCACATAGCCTTTTTCCTTATCTGTACGATTTGGTGGTGGTCTAGAACTAGCTCCAATCTGTCGCAACTGCTCATCAATTTGTAATCTCTCCAAACGCAACTGGTCTACTTCCTATTTAAAATATACAAGATAACAGTAAAAATAATTTGACATTTTACTTAATAAAACCTTTCTCCTTTTCATCAGATAAAAAGTATACTGGAAATATTTCAACTTCAGTTCTAAATTTACAGTTAAACACTGTTAGGCAAAATTATCAGGAAATTGAATCCTCTCCTTAAAAAGAAAACTACTATAGATAACAGATTATAGATGTCCAGAATTAGAGATATAAACAAATTACTCAGCATTAAAATTGCACTGAATAAAATTTAAAGTTATTTGATTTGGCACTATTATCCAACTATACTACTGCTAAGGCACAGATATGCTACTTTGGGGACTTCTTGATGATAGGATATTGAATAAAACAATGTTACAATGTACAAAGACAGATAAATGACATTTAAGGTTTAACCAGGTAACCTTAAAAATCTCACTTAATAAATAATCTTAATTAAAATAGATTTTCTGGTTAGTATCTTAATTTTAAAAAAGCATTGAGTTTGGGCCATCTTTTGTTTTAAAAGAATATATATTACTATAGTAGGTATTTGGATGTGATAAGGAACAATTATTTTTCATGAACTAAAATTGCTGATATTCCTTATATGAGGGAAAAAACCTATTTAATAGCTGATCAAAACAGCTAGGTCTTACATCATGCCTTAAAAACCTTTTAAAGACTATAATTCTGCTAGAGTAAGTATAACAAACAATATACATTTAGTCGATTAAAATAAACACCTAGGGTCCACTGACAGACTCTTACCTTTACAGATTCCAATATGTTGGGTTCTGTTAAATCCAGATGAAATCTAATTTCTAACCCTTCTCTTTACAATCTACCCATAAACATCTCATTTATTGGCTACCAGGAATCAGATCTATAACTATAGTACTGGGTATCAAGTAGACGTTATCATAGAAATTGTCCATATGAATAATCTCATTGGAGAAACACCTTTAATGCTAAGTTTCTAAAATCTGATTGTGGCAGCTTCTGGAAAAGAAAGGTCAGGTAAGGATCTAGGTGAATTTTATATGTGCTCTAAAACAGAATCTGTTTTACAGAGGACTTGAGCAAAGGAGACTGCAGCTGAGGAGACTTCAGCTGAGTGGCTTCCTCCAAAGGTATAGTAATAGCTCCTGGAATGGGTATATCTTGCAAAACAGAATGGCAATCCAGGTTACCTCACTGGGGCAAAGCAATCACCTTTTGGTGAGAAATGCCAGGCCCAAACAAGGGAAGATCTGGTGATGAAAGAATGGCAACAGAACAGCTGCTGATAACCAAAAAAGGTAATCGAGTGTGAAAAATAAATCAAAATATCTAAGAAAGAACATTAGTCAAAAGAACAAAGGATTTGATACAATATAATCCTAACTGTCCAGGTCCTCATAATTAAGCTAATATGAAGAAAACACATAAAACAGATTACACATAAAACACACTGTAAAACAAAAACAAATAAGCAAATCAAAGAGGTATCCTGCCCATGCAAACCTTGCTGGATGAAACCTTCCCACTATTAATTATTAACTGACCACCATAAGAATGAATGACATGGTTAGCTATGGCACTGTTTCTCTCTTTCATTCTTATTTACATACAAGTCATACAAGTAGAAATTATTTACTTCTTATTCCTTTCAAGAAATCAGCAAAAAAAAAATTCTTAAAGTAGTGCCATAAATAAAAAAGTTGAATTATTTTTAAAAGACTATTTAATACTGTCTATATTGTAATTTTGATACATATGGATCTGAAGAAGAAAATATAAAAATGAAGTGGATAAGGTTACATTTAATTAAAATCACAGAATATTTTGGCAAAAGAAATTTCAAAAAGCATTTAGTCTAGGAAAGTGACTCGCCTAAAGTTACACAGGTAGCTCATGGCTGAAAAAGACTATCAAAGAAAATCACTAGATTGCCAATCCAGTGCTCTTTCCAGTATACTTTGTAACCCTCCTGGTTCTTACCTTCCAGTTTGCTATTTAGTGGAGGCATAACTCTACAAATACTAACTAAAATGGGCATTTACAAGACACAAATAGTTTGTATTTTGAATAACAGTATAGATAAAAATACAAAGGGCAAACATTTAAACAGAGGACTTCATGAAATGCTGAGATTTCCTTGATCAATAACATAAAGGGAATAACAAAGGCCAAGTGCCATAGACATAAAATTTGACCTGGAAAAAACCCACAAAAGCTAGAAAATATCAATTGGATTAAAAGACTATGTAGAGAATTACCTAAATTGATAACAAGGGTTTAACAGAAGAATAAAGGGAAATAGGAAGAACTGGTATATAGGTCCTAAAATTTATAATGATGAAAAATGTTATGTGTTTTCAAAAGGAATAAAAGCTGAACAACGTCAGTCCTTTCTCTACTATGTTTTACGGGTCATACATTGTTATGTGCAGGCTAGAATGGATCCTAGCTACTAAAGTATTTACTATAAAGTTTTTATATTTTAGTACAAAAGGATTAGAAGTTAAAGTTCTTTCTGTTCTCACCTTTAAATAGTTCAGGTGATAATCCAAAAGAACAGTGGCATTAGCGATGCTGTCCTTTGTTCCCACAAAAACGAATGGTACCATACCCTGAAAAAGAAATTGCAATAATGATCTCATAAAATTAATGACAGATTAATCTGAAAATGAATATGACTGAATCACAGGGCCTAGAAAATAGCAGGTACACAAATGTCTGTTGAAAGTACAAATCAATATATGAAGATAAAAGTAAAGTTGACATACTTTATACATCTGTAGTAAATAAGGACAGATCAATACAGCAACCCCTTAAATACATGATTATTATGTTCTAAAGACTACTGTAAAATGCTGTCCAAACCACAAATTATATGCAAGCTTTAACATGAGATGCATAAACAAAATGAATAATTTAAAACGGTCTAATTCATTTACTATAGGCTTTACTGAAATCAAATTCTCAAAAAAAAATTCAAAATTGTAAACCACGGTGACAAAAGTAAAAAAGATCAATTTTGTTAACTAAGTCTATAGAATACAAATAAAATACAAAATAAATTAGGATACATAAAAATTCACTGATTAATCTGTAAGAAAAAGAAATCTAGGCCCATCTATGAGTGTAAAATTTGGCAACTCCACATACATTTCAATAAAATAGTCTGAAAATTTTAAATGGCTGAATAACAAGTAAAGTTTGATCTTCTCTCTATGGATATTACTTAATATAAGGATAGATTTTTTTAAAGGCATATACTAAAAATTTACACTTCTAACTTGTCTATACAAACTATGAGGAAAAAAGCCTTATTTCTTATATAAGGTATAGGGAAGTCTAGTTACAGTTGTGCAAAATTAATAGGTGGTAATTATAACAAACATTCAAAGTTGAAAAAAGTTCAACATTTTGCTATTAAAGACATACACATGTTTACTGATACTCACAAATGACTAACAAAAAGCATAAGGTAGCTTTGATGTAGATTATAATTAATTTTCTACACAAAGTTGAAAGGTGTGACAAGTGAAAAAGTTGACCTTTGATCAAAGTACCACTCTTCTATAAAGAACATGTATTTGATAGGTGTGGCACTATTGGGCTGCTGTTGCCTGTTTGCTTTCAGTATACAGAATCTTAAAGGTATGTGAGGGTGGGAACAGGTTTTTCTTTTACCCTCCACATGAACGTGGCTATTGATGGGGAACAAAACTGAACAATTAGGAAATACAGCTTACAGACTGATCATTCAGCAGTCAAGGCACTACCTTCTGGTAGCAATGACCACCTGAAGAATCAGGTGCCATTAAAAACCCATGGGCTTCATATAGATTTTTTTCTTATATCAAATAATACATGAAGTATGGAAATAATCAGGCCTATAAATTAGGTATTTTTTCTCAAAAACATCATTTTTGGGTCTTGAGGTTTTCCCCAATTATCTTTTTTTAATGAATCTGTTAACCATATAATTTCCTAAAATACTATATGATGGAATGCTATATCCATCCCTCTGGGTCAAATATCACCAAAATAAGCCTAAAATCCTATGTTACAGATTTAGTTAGACTGATTTGAAAGCAAATCATTTAAAAACATTTAGGCCGGGTACGGTGAGAGACCAAGGCGGGAAGATCTCTTGAAGCCAGGCATTTGAGACCTGATGGGGTAACACAACTCAACAAAAAATTAAAAAAGAATTATCAGGGGTTGCTGGTATACTTTGTGGTCTCAGCTACTCTGGAGGCTGTGGTGAGAGGATAGCTTAAGTCTAAAAGTTGGGAGGCTATATAAGCTGTATAATCTCACTATACTCTCTCCTATACATAAAAAAAAAAAATGTTTCTCTTACAACATGTTCTAAGGGCCATTCTAAGTTATGCACCTTGTCAGTGGACCTGAATAGTAAATTAAAATGAAGAAGGGCAAGATCAGAATGGTGGCTGTCAATATGGATACCTGAAAAACATTTCTTCCTGTTCTGGGATAAGAAACCGGCTGCCTAGCAGAAAGGGATATCAAATCCATCTGCAGTGACAATCCTCTTTTTAAAATGGCATTTTTTCTTATAATCTCTTGAGTCACAACATCTTTTCCATAAACAGTGCTTGCCCTCAAGGAACTACAGTGCAATTGAGGAAGATCAGTATGTAATGTCTATGTCTAAGTGCTATGTTAGAGGTGAGCACACAAGAGCAGGAAAGGGGAAACTCTTGACCCATTCAGGGGCAAGTATACAAGGAAAGCTTTATAAGGAGTAAGATCAAAGTGAGGTAGCAAGTAGAGGAGGAGGAATGCTCTAGGCAGAGTAAACCTATGCATATGTCTAGAAGCAACAGAGAATATGATGATGTCTGAACTTGTTCAGTATGGCTCAAACTTGCCTAGTGCAATAGGGAAGACTAATGAGACAACACTGGACAAGTAACAGTGAAAAGCCATATAAGTGGCATGGAGGCAACTGAGATTTATCCCCAGGGCAATGGAGCCACATACCCATAAACAGTTCTCCATCAGCCCCCAACTCAGATGATCATTTGTCATCTTTCTTAACAAGGGAATAAACATTAACATGTAAGTTGAAAATGTATTTTACAAGGAATGTCTTCCTATCTGCCAATCCTTGAGCTCAGGATTCTGAGATTCTCTTATTATAATTGATGAAGCCACCAACAGCTAAAGCAGTACACAGTACAAGGAATACAAGTGATATCATTAACTATAACATATAATGTACAGAAGCCTGAATGCAGGACTTTCACTGCAGGACTCTTAAACTCATTTCTAAACAGGTTAGTTCAAATAGTGCAAACCAGGCCTAATGGGGTAGCTTATGCCTTATAATCCTAGCACCCTGGGAGGCCAAGGCAGGTGGACTGCCTGAGCTCATGGGTCCAAGAATAGGCTGAGCCAGAGCAAGATCGGATCTCTAAAAAATAGCCAGGCATTGTGGTGGTCTCAGCTACTTGGGAGGCTGAGGCAAGAGAATCACCTCGGCCCAATAGTAGGAGGTTGCTATGATGTCATGACACTCTACTGAGGGTGATAAAGTGAGACTCTGTCTCAAAAAAAAGTGATAATTAGTTTCTAAAACTAATACATCTAACAGAAGGTACATTTTGATATGACACCCACAAAATTTAAAGAGATATAGCATGGGAAAAAAGTAAACCTTCAAAAGAAAAATGTGACCATTAAATGCAAACCCCATTATTTTATGTTTATGGCATTTATGGCAAAAGAACTGTCACTGTAAATAAATTGAAAAGTCTGTAACACTTTGGTTGATAATATTTCATAGATGGCAATCACATTTGAAAATAAAGAACAAGAGTAGCCTCCAAGTCTAACCAAGGTAAACACTGCAAACACCAACTGTGAGAACTGAGGCAAAGAAATTATTTTAAGTGTAATTCAAAGTGACAAATAATTCTTACCCTCTGGACTTTTGTACTGTTTGGTTGAGAAAAATGGGCGCTGTTTTCTTTTATATCTAAATGTTTTTTTTCTTCTGAGGTATTAGGTCCAACCCTTGAATTATTGGAAGGCAGGGAATTTGGTGGCATAATTTCCTTGGTAAAAAACACAAGATACAAAAGGGAAAAAAGAACCAATTTTTAAGACTTTATTTAACTTTGTTATTAATGATCAAATTTTAAGAATGCAAATTGTTAAAAACAATTTTGGCATATGAAATTAAAGTATGAAAAAATATGCAGTTAAAGACTCTAAAGGATTTATTTAACTTCAGCTGAAAGTATTATTCACAAAGCAAGGTTAGATAATATGTGAAAAGTATGGCATTTTGTGGGGACAGTATCTTAAACAATACTACTACCACTACACAGAAGGGCACATCCTCATCTCCCCACTACATACAGATGGTTCAATAGTTGCTACTGAAAAGCATATACTCATGAAGGTAAAAGTGAAAGTAATAAAATTTAAAGGTAAGAACAATGGAGAAGAGATATTATGCCCAGGAAAAAAATTAAAGTACACTGAATTAAACACACATACCACATAATCCCCAAACTAAAAAGCCAAAGGATGAAAGCCAGAAAACCTAACCCGTGTTCCAATTTTGTCTTTGTCAGCAACATTAACATTTGGAATATTTGTATTTGTATTTTATAAACAAAGCATTTCCACATATATATTCCATTCTGTTGTCATTAATACCTGACCCAATGATGTATGTTTCTTATTTTAAGATTTTTGAGGCTGAGAATGTTGGCTCATGCCTGTAATCCTAGCAGTCTGGGAGGCTGAGGAGGGAGGATCCCTTGAGCTTAGGAATTTGAGATCAGCCAAAGCAAGACCCTGTCTCTACCAAAAATAGAAAAAAATTAGTTGGGCGTGGTGACATGCACCTGTAGTCCCAGCTACTTGGGAGGCTGAGGCCATGGTATTCTAGCCCCAGCAACAGAGCAAGACTTTGTCTCACCCCCCCGCCCAAAAAAAAAAGTTTTTTTTTAAAGATCAGGAAATAAAAGTTAAATATGTTAAAGTGACTAATCCAAAGTCATACTATCTGAGAACAGATAGAGGCCATTATCTACAACTATAACGTTATAACATTAATTATATAGGGTAAATTTGATAACCAGAATATGTGCATTTGCATTATGTGCATATTATAGAGGTCTCTAAATAAATTAAGAAGTCAAATAGAACAATAAAAAATGCTTACTTTTTCAAGACAAACCAAAAAACATTCGCACTATAACATACCTCTTCTTGTGGGACGTTTTTTTCATTTTCAGCCTCAATCCTCACCCTCACAACTCCTGACTTGTCCACAATCTCCTGAATCAGTTTTCCATTTTTTCCTATTACTTTGCCTAAGAGATGAATAATTCACGTTTGGTTTTAAAAACACATACCTCAAACCAGTAAGCATATATATATATATATGTATGTATGTATTTGTGTATATTGAATTATAAAATTTCTAAACCAAAGAAGAGACTCTTTTCAAGAAGACAGTTAAATTAGTTTTCTGCTTAATTAGGGTATCACTGCTTAACCTTTTGTTGTCCGGTACTAGAGCTGATTCATACTTGGAAACTGATTAGATTATTTTGAATTTTTTTTTATTTGAGGCAATTCAAAGATAGCCTCTTATTTTGCATAAAGGGCTACACTTTAAACCTACTGGTACTGTGTTATGTATCACTCTTATTCCAAGTTCTATAAAAGGAATTAAGGAAAAGGAGGATAGATAACAGCAAATATTATTTGCTTATTTGAAAATTTCTTTTAAAAATTTTATTTCAAAATATTAAGGGGATACAAATGTTTTAGATGACCTGGATTGCTTTTCTTTAAAATTTCGGATTATTATGAGGGCATAAAGGATTAGCTTACATCGTTTCCAGCTATCAGGTAAGGTCCAAGTTGTAGTTGAACCCTTCACCCAGGGGGTGTGTTACATACCTTACATTGTGTATGTTAGGTGAGAGGTTACCAATTCCCTCTCTCCCCCCACCCACTTGCATTTATTTGGGTCTTTCACTCATGTGGACATGTAGTTGTTTCTCTATTGCAGTGTTTTTCAACTTTTTTTTTTTTTTATCTCATGGCGCACTTGAGCCTATAGTTAAGCTTCTGAAGCACACTTACATTATATTGATCAAAAAAAAAAAAAGAGTTAAAAAAAGTATATACTTACTGTTCTCTGAAGTTCTTTCAAAAATAATTAACAATCTTTAAAAAAAATTGCAGCACACCTAAGATCCTCTCACAGCACATCAGTGTGCAATGGCATACCAGTTGAAAATCACTTATCTATTGGAAACAACATTAGTAGCTGAATATACTAGAGACTGCTTTTCTATTCTTGTGATACTTTATTAAGGAGAATGTTTCTGTAATAGTGAGGGCATGTTGAGTCCTGGCTAAGATATATTCAATAATTTCAACCTTTATCTGTATTTGATACATCTGCTTCTTTATCCATTGTAAATATTTACAGAATTTTGTATGGTACATTTATAAAAGATACTCAAGTTTAAAAATGTATTAAATAGCTACATATACATCTAAAAGGAATACAAATTCTTCGGGCCAATGTGTTAAGAGACTATTACTCCTGTGCAGTGCTCACAAATCATAGTGGAATATTAAATGGTGAAAACTTTTCACAATAGCAACAACAAAAAATCAAATACCTAGGAGCATACTTAACCAAAGAGATAAAGGATCTCTACAGGGAGAACTACAAGTTACTTAGGAAGGAAATCACCGAGGATATAAACAAATGGAAAAATATACAATGCTTATGGATCACGGATCTGCAGAATCTGTTAAAATGCCTATGCTACCCAAAGTGATTTACAGATCCAATGTAATCCCCATTAAAATACCAATGACATTTTCCACAGATCTAGAAAAAATAGTCCTGTGCTTCGTATAGAACCAGAATAGTGCCTGAACAGCCAAAGCAACCTTAAGCAAAAAGGAGAAATCAGGAGGCATCATTTTACCAGACTTCACCTTATACACAAGGATATATTAACCAAAACAGCATGGTACTGGCACAAAACAGAGACCGTCCAATGGATCAGAACAGAAAACTCAAGATATAAAACTATCCTCATATTACCATCTGATCTTTGACAAAGCAGAAAATAACATACACTGGAAGAAAAGGACCCGTACTCAATAAATGGTGCTGGGAAAACTGGATAGCCACATGTAGAAAACTAAAACAGGATCTGTACCTGCCTTCAGTCACAAAAATTAATTCACAATGCATAACAGACTTAAACTTGAGGCATGAAACTATAAGAATATTAGGAAAAAATGTTGAGAAACTCTTTTAAATATAAATCTAGATAAAAGATTTATGAAGAGATTCTAAAAGCTATTATAGCAACAGCAAAAATTGACAAATGGGACCTGATTAAATTAAAGAGCACAGCTAGGGAAACAATAGAGTGAACAGATAACTCACAGAATGGGAAAAAATATTTGCATGCTAAACATCCTATAAAGGGCTGATAACCAGAAATCTGTAACGAACTCAAACATATCAGTAAGAAAAATAGTCAAACAATGCCATCTTTTCAAAAGGGATAGACTAACAGCCAATAATCATATGAAAATGCTCAATGTCACTAATCATCAAGGAAATGCAAATCAAAACCCCAATTGAGGTTTCACTTAACCTCAGTGAGAATGGCTTTTATCAAAAAATCCCCAAACAACAGAGGCGGGCATGGATGCAGAGAGAAAGGAACACTTATACACAGCAAGACTGCAAGACAGTACAACCTCTATGGGAAGTCATACGGAGATAGCTCAAAGAACTAGAAGTAGACCTACCATTTAATCCAGCAATCCCACTACTGGGTACTTAGTACTTTTTCTTCACTTTCCCTAGTCCCCATCCCACCCCTATTGGGTATTTAAAAAGTTATTTTAGGCCAGACACAGTGGCACACGCCTATAATCCTAGCACTCTGGGAAACTCAGGCAGGCAGGTTGCTTGAGGTCAGGAGTTCAAGACCAGCCTGAGCAAGATTGAAACCCTGTCTCTACTAAAAAATTGAAAAACTAGCTGATGTAGTAGCGCACACCTGTAGTCCAAAATATTTGGGTGGCTAAGGCAAGAGGATTTCTCAAGTGCAAGAGTTTGAGGTTGTTGTCAGCTATGATGACACCATGGCACTCTATTCGGGGGTACAAAGTAACACTCTGTCTCAAATAAAAGTCATTTTATCAAAAAGACACATGTACTCAAATGTTTATAGCAGCACAATTCACAAACTCAAAGAATCAACCCAAGTGTTCATCAATACACAAGTGCATTAATAAAATATAGTATACTTAAATATATCATCAACTACTACTCAGCCATAAAAACTGATAAACTGATACCTTTTGTAACAAGCTGGATGGAACTGGAGACCATTCCTCTAAGTGAAGTATCACAGGAATGGAAAAACAAACACAAAATGTACTAATAAATTGTAACTAACTTATCACGTGATAGTAAAACACGTAAAACGCAACAGAAAGTAAGTAGGTGGGAGGGGGTATATAGGGGAAGGGTACATTCACACCTAATGGGTACAATGCACATTACCTGGGTGATGAATACACTGATAACTTTGACTCAAACTGTATAAAAGCAAATCATGTAGCCAAAACATTTCTACCTCTTTAATATCCTAAAATTAAAAACTAAAAATAATGAAAGGTGAAGAGATTAGTCAAAGACTACAAGATTAAGAAAACTCACTTAAAGATAACTCAAAACTTGGCTCGGCCTCAGCCACATACAAAGAAGGTAGTGGGTTCGAACCCAGCCCAGGCCAGCTAAACAACTGCAACAACAACAACAAAAAATAGCCAGGCGTTCTGGCAGGTGCCTGTAGTCCCAGCTACTTGGGAGGCTGAGGCAAGAGAAGTGCTTAAGCCCAAGAGTTTGAGGTTTCTGTGAGCTCTGATACCACAGTACTCTACCGCAGGCAACATGGTGAGACTGTTTCAAAATAAAAAAAAAAAAAAAAAACCTCAAAACTATTATGAAAAAGCTTAAAACCAGTTTAAGCATTCTTCAATAACATGTGGTAAAACTCCAAAGACTTCAAGAGCCAGTAATGACACTTGATTTTTCCCCTGATTTTATAAAATTCAATCATGTACACAACTGGGAAATGACTGTTTTCAGTGTCATCATCAAACCAAGACATTACAAACATTAAGAACTACTGATTCGGCTCGGCGCCTATAGCTCAACCGGCTAAGGCGCCAGCCACGTACACCTAAGGTGGCGGGTTCGAATCCCCAGCCCGGACCCGCCAAACAACAAT